GAGGGGCCGCTTTCCTGGTTCCCACCACTACAGAGGGCCCCATTCTGGCCCTTTGCCTGCGATGCCTCTACACAGGGCCAAGTGACATCTACGAACATCCCACAATCTCCTTCTAGACTATGCTCTCTGCACCCAGGACCACGGCAGTCCTTCTGCTCCATCTTTATCACTCTGCCATTGCCCACAAGACATAAGGTGTAATATTAAGAGTAATATCTGACTACTGTTACCCTAGGCTCTCTTGCACTGCAGACAACTTCTTGGGAAATTTTCATGTTTAAAGGACCATGATGACTCACCTCCTCAGGCTGATGAGATAGGAAAATCCATCGTTACTGTGTGGGAATCCACAGTGGTTCATAACTAAAGCACGAAGGCAGAAAGGCTGAGCGGCAGACTTGTGGCCTGAGAAACACACTACTGGCAGACCAGCAAGTCAGCTCCCTGCAAAATAAGCCTCTGGGGAAATGGCTCTGTTTTCCCTACAGCTGTTGTCAGGCCATTTGGCCATGCTGCATGCAGCCCGTGCATCTCGTGTTCCACCGCACCTGGTAGCTGTAACTGAAAAGGAGCTTCATTCACGACCTCCAGGTGAAGTGACCTAGAAGGCTTAATCAAGAATCCACGTTAACCCCACATGGTTGTATTCCAGAGGAAGAATATCCTGATTGTGGTAGAACACTTTCAAAAGTGGCTTCCAGTGTTTTTAGTTTCATCTCTAACTTCTGCTGTTATTTGTAAGTTATTTACAGCAAACAGATATCCAATTACTACTGTTTATGATAGCAGGCCTGCATCTGAGTTTAAAGACCTTGTCAGTAGTCACCGTAACTAGGTTTCCAGCCCTTAAGCCTTGATACAGAATTTGGGCTGAATGGATTGTGTTGGCAGCTGGGAATGACCCAAAGGGGACACCATCGCTCAGTGAGCTGCTTTCACGCCCACAACTGGAGTCAGCTGTGACTGCCTGATATTAATTGGGGCAATATCTCCAGCTATACCTGTCTCTAGTTAACATCAAGAATTTATAAGTTCAATTTGCATCTAGAAATCATTGTCATTGGTTGAGTGCTTATCATGTACCAAGTAAGACCTTTGTGTATATTATTACATTTAAATTCTCATAAAAAGCAGGCGGCAATAATAACTACTAACACTTATTAAACCATCACTACATGACAGATTGTGCTGACAGCTTTACATGCATGTCTCAACTCACCCTCATGACACCATGTGATGTGGCCATGGCTACTATTCTTCCCTAACAAAGGAGGACACTGGGATCTGGTTAGAGTAGGAAGCAGGAGGCTGTCACTTCGTCAGTAGCTTAGACAGCCCTGCAGTGCTTGTGTTTCTATCCACTTCACAGAGATGCCTGGCTGGAATGTAGTTGGACTGATCACCATCATTTTACAGTGGAGGGAACTGCAAGTCACTTGTTTAAGGCCGTACTGTCAGAAAATGGTGAAGAGCTTGATCGGGTTTCTCCCTAAAGCCTCATGGGTTTTCTCTCCCCAAACCAATGGCCTTCCTGTTCTAGACGGCTCTGTTCATATGTGTCCTTTGATAATTTGCACATAAAGTTTAAACTTCTTAAGAAATTATAGAGCAGGAAAAAATGGGGGTTCCTGCTACTATAAGTGAAGTACTGGAAGCTGAATTAGGCAAGGCTGAGTCCTGAGATGGGCCAGCAAGTCATCCCCACCTGAATCAGCTGGGGTTTCTACCTGAAGTGGGTTTGACCCTGACAGAGCCATTAGAACATTTCTTTTGGATTACTTACTTTTCTTTACATGGTTCTGTATTTTCTAAATTTTCTACAATAAGCAAGTGTTTAAGTAAATGTTAATACTGATATTAACTTTTCAGATAATACTGAATACATTCTCATGTTAAACATTCAAATACATCAAGCCCTCCCTTGATCTCTTCCAGTCTCCTCTCCAGAGGCAACCACAGTGAGAAGTGTGCATGAATTCCTCCAGAGCTGCACTGTCCTATGAGGAAGTCAGTGAGATCATCCATGTGTGGCTACTGAATGACTGAAATGTCCTACTTCAAACTGAAATGTGCTTGTGAGCATAAAATACATACTAGATTTTAAGACTTAGTATGGAAAAAGAGTGTAAAATATCTCATATAATTTGTATACTGATCACATGTTGAAATGATACTGTTTTGGATATACTGGGTTAAAAAAATATAGGATTAAATTAATTTCCTCTGTTCTATAGATACTAGAAAATGTGGCACACATTGTATTTCTGTTGGATAGCACTGCTCAAGAGTCTGGATCATTTTTAATACATTTATACACTTCTATGTATATGTGGAAACAGTTTTTTGGTGTTTCATAACATAAATATGCATTACTTTAATACTTGGATTACAACTTTTTTTCTTAAAAAAAGAGATGTAATCTTCAAATGCATTGTGCATTTAATTTTATTTTTAAATTTTTGGGGGGGAGAGGTAATCAGGTTTACTTATTTACTTTTAAAGGAAGTACTGGGAGTCAAACCCAGGACCTTGTGTATTCTAAGCATGCACCCTACCTCTTGAGCTATACCTTCCCCTGGGCAAGTTAACTCCGTTCTTCTTCCCTTTCTCTTCCTCTTCGTCTTCTCCCCCTACTCCACCCCCATACTTCTTAACAATCTACAAAGCCTCAGAGTGAAGAAAGGATAATTATTCTTGGCCATACAAATGCTGACATGAGCATACTTAACATATGGATTAATTCAACACAGGTACAGATGAACAAAAGGGTATCCCTTGTTGGATAAAAGGAGGTGCTAGTCAATGGAGGAAGGCTTTGGCCTTCCAGTGGGTCCTAGCCAAAAGACACAGGAAACAGCTTCATTTGCCAAAAATGACTGGTAGTTACTTTTAAATAACTAGATCTGAAATTTGCTATTCATATCATGTCATTTCTTTCTCTGAGATGTTTTGTGTTAATAGGCACAGCCTTGTTACTTTATGTTGGGTGACTGTGTGCTGACTACTTTTCAATTTGATCAATATTGCCTTTAAAGTGCCACCTCAGGTCAGCCACTGAGTCCTGACAGCTGCTGGAAATAAACGCTGACATGTGTGACCCTCTTTTCCTAAGTTCTGACTAGTTGAGGTAATATGACCAATATAATGCAATTAATAGATTTTATTTTCTCTAAGTAAGTATCTGACAATGAATCCAGTTCAGTGGATTCTGCAAAAGAAATGATCCTAAACGAGCTCCCCTCTCTCCTCTACTTAAAGAAAATGGCTGCATCTACATAAACAATTTACACAGAACACACTTGTGTAAATGAACCAGGAACACATGCACATGCAGCATTCTTGTGTTGGACTGGAGACTATTTGCCAGGTTCGAGCAAGGCCTTAGCACAAGCAAAATATCAACAGTTCTTACATGGCCTCAGTGTAGAACCTTCTTGAGAGCAGAGGAGAGAGAAAGAACGTTAGGCATGAGCAGAGGCGCTGTGATAACGTTATTTTCATTCTTCTGAGTGCTTCTCGGTGCTCTGTCCCATTTGTGTTCCTCTGCTTACATGCTGTCTTGATAAAGGACTGCAGTTTGAAGGCCTGTGTATTCTTTCCCTTACCCCTTGCTGCCCCAAGGCAAGCTTCCCAAGACGGGTAAGATGGGCATCGAATGGGGAGCTCCAAGTTCTCTTCTAGCTGCTAATTCTCCCAGCCTAACAAATCAAATTTTCCTTGATCACATTCCATGGGGGGCTGTCTTAAATGCTTCACACTGATAGGACATTTGAAAAGTGTTTCTTTTTATTTTTCCTTAGTCCTTGCCATCTTCTTCCATCATTCAAGGAAGAATAGAGAAAAAGCAAAACAGAAACAAAGACTAGAGCAATCCACGAATTTTCAACCTTCATTGAAGCGCTATATATCACTGCAATTAAGACAACCTTTTGAAGCGTGAAAAACAAAAAACCAAAAAACCCCCAAACTCCCTTAATTAGGATTACCTTCATCTGAGTAGGCACCATCTGCTGTAGCAGCCCAACCCTGTCCTCCACGGGGCTTGGCAGCTGCAGGTGAGTCAGGCCCCTCTCCCCTTTCCCACACTCCTGCTCAAGAAGTTGCCAGGGAGCTCTCAGGCAGTATCAGCAGGCAGGAAGTGCGGCGGGAGTGAGAGGGGTCTCCACCCATTAGCAGCTGCTTAAGTAGTAGGCAGGGGAACTTTTCTACGGAGAAATTCAGGTCAGCAGATACTCCAAACCAATTTATACCACATGCTACCCAGTTGTAGAAGTAAATTAAAATGCTAAGAAAGGACCTGGGAATGCCAATCCCCTTGTTTTTTCCCGTCTTGTGCTTGGCACCCAAAAGAATAAGACAAGAACAGTTGGACTTGGTGGTTTAAAGGGAATTATTAGGCAACCGGAAGGAAGTGAAGGCAGCACACACCAAGGGAAGCTGTCTTCATGGAACATCATGTACCAGTGATTAAATGTCAAGACCCATCATTGTCCAGGTGGTGATCTCCACAGTTTTGGTAGCCTGCTCATTCAGATTTAACCAAAAGACAAGCTTGACAGATGATCAGAATCTTTGGGGGATGGCTGTGGGTGGAGTGGGGAAAGGAGTGAGGTAATTTAAAAAAATGACTTCATAATTTTTTTTTAAAGAAAGCACACTAATATTATCACCTCAGTGGTTTTTGCTATAGTCTATTCTAGTAAAATGTGAAATAGAAGTTTTGCCAGAAGTAGAGAAAACATTTCCAAACAAGTCATTATAGATTACACTACAAGTCTAAAATAAAAATGTATAAACATGTGTTTGTCCATTAGACTTTGGGACATTTTTGTTTATGCTTTCCTTGTTGAAGAAATTTCACTTTCTCTTATGCTACTTTCTTAATAAGTTACTATAGCTTTAACAAGTGGATAAGACCTGGATTCATAATTTTATATGTATATACACCGAAAAATAATTTTTTACACTCCCTCAACAATAGGAAATCATTAAATGATTACCTCTGTAAATGTGTTCCGATTGGCTTGCAAGCCAACTTTTACTACCTCAAAAGGGTTGACCACGATGGCTTCTGTTAGTCCAGATCCCAATCCAGCAATGGCAAATGTCTAGAAAAATTAAGTCAATCAATACTTTAAAACAAGCTATCATATGTACCAGATTAAGCATCCCACTCATTACACTATGCAGCTGAATGTTATAATGAGAATGGAGAAACTCACATAAATGCACCATATACCATTACTAAACAGCTTTGGATCTTGATTAGATGCTGACAATTCATGAAGAAGAAATTACAGAAGCCACAAACCACATCCTAACAATTCAAAATAAAACGTCAAAATCCCATCAACAATGAATTTTTCCTTTAATGAAAAGAAAGGTTGTTTTATTTATATAAGGTGGATACTAAAACATCTGCACATGTAACAATTAAAAGAGAGTTCGCCTTGTAAAAAAAAGAGCTTCATTTTTAAACACACACTTAAATACATCTATTGAGCACATAAAAAATTCAAGAAGCAGAACCACAAATAAAATGTACATAAAAAGCTAGATTTCAGGTAACCAAAGAGTATAGACCAAAGAGTATAGCTGAAAACATATAAATGTATTCTGAGAGTCACTATTCTAGACTATTAGCAGACAAAAAAAAAAAGATTTTAAAATTCTTTCTTTCCTTATCTTTTTAAACTGATAATTGTCCTTCTAGACCTAGAAGCTGAGGAATAAAAGGTGAGATCAGAAATGGCTAGACTGTTTTGAAGGGCTCAACTAAAATCTAAACCATTTATCAAAAGATGGCTGTGTGTCAGGTTCTTATTTGTTGTTAAGAATTTCTACAATAGGAAAGAACAACTTTCTAGAATTTTCCTCTAAGTAAAATGCTTAAGGCTTTTTCAGAAAATCTGTATCAAAAATAACCACAACTACTAAAACATACACACACACAGAGCAGGAAAACAAAATGAAACAAAGCCTCAAACCTCCAAAACAGATGCCGGGAAGAAAAAGAAGAAATTCTTCAGTGCTGAACCTCTAATTCTGGAAGAGGTAGTACTATATACAACTAAGAGAAGAAAAAAGCCAGTAAAGAATAAAGAACAGAAACTCTTGTCAGAAGTCTCTAATTTCTTCAAAGTAGGAGACTAAAAGTGAAAAGGGAGGAAGGAATGTTCTGTAACCTTGGAAGGGGAGGCAAGGTGGAACCAGGGCAGAGTCCAGAGCCAGGAGATGTGGGGTTAGGTCCCGGTTCTGCCTCTTTGTTGGCTATGTGACCAAAGCTGCCACATACAGCAGTTTGGGCATAAAGGTGATGTGGAGGCTGAAATCCTGCAACCTCTTTGCCAAGCTGGAGTCCTGGAGAGGCATCAGTCAGGAGAAAGGGACACATTTTCCTAATCCACATGAAAACACGATGTGTGTTAGCTGGAGCTCTGTGTTTAAATCACTGAGTCTTTTATAAGCCACAGTTTTCCCATCTGTAAAATGGAGCCAATCATAGCTAATCTTTCTATTTAATACGGTTATCATGAGGGTCAAAATAACATGCAAAAGCCCTTTGTAATGTGCTGTACAAAACCCACTGTTACTGTTGCACGTAAAAATGGAGAGGAAGAATGGGATTGTATACAGATTCCAGGAGAGAGGGAATTCTTAACGATGTTTTCCTTCCAAGCCCCTTCATTACGATTTTAAACATATTTGTATAGGGTAACAGACCAAATATTTTATTCATTTATCTCAGACTTCTATCATGGAAGCCAAATGCAGGGAAAAAAAAAAACTAGTCCCAAACTCTTCTGACTGAAAGAGCTAAAATCCAGATGTTCAGGTTTTTATTACTATATGCAATCTTCCAAGTAATTCACTTTTTTGTTCTTGTATAAAACTCAGCTACATTTGCTGTCAGAACTAGTGTTCAGCAGTCTCTTGTCAAAAGAATTGATCAGCTATCAGCAGATCATGTTACACAGATTGTTCCAGAGACCAGCGGTAACTGTCGGGTTCCCAGCCTCCTAGGCTTTTCATGTGCGAGCACCAGGGGACATTTAAGGGCTGTTGAAGTGTTTAGCTGTATCAAAAAGAAACTGGAATAAATGAGTTCAAGAAAAGAGAAAAACTGTATAGAGTCCGCATGAATTCAGTTAGACTATCTGGAGTGGCCAAGTGCTTTTCTGCTTGTACTCTCAAGAGGGTCCAAAGAGCTGCAGTCTCTCACATGGTACCTACCAATCCTTGGCACAGAACAGCGGAGACCATATTTTATTGTCCTTTGCTAGGAAGATTTTAATCTTCTTTTTAACAAGATGTTTTCAAAGTAAAGGGAGACATTCAGGGAAGACAGTGAGGAATTAAAAAAAAAAACCTTAGCTAATTTTAGGCCTCATGCTGCTACTTTTCCTTCTGTGCAAGGTCACCTCAAAGTCCCCATTTTTTAAGCAAGAGGATGAATGAGAGGTTTCTCTGTTATAACCCAAAGTGACACTATTAGGTTTCTTAATTGGATCCTTCCTAGAAAGAGAGCACGGATGATTTTTTTAAAAAGCAGACAATTATTTTTAATGAAACTTTACAAGCAAAGTAATTAAAGAGCTGAAGCTCAGAACGCTGCCCCTCTGGTTGAGTTCTGAAGTACATTCCAGCAGGTAAACTGGGCGATTTTCCTACTGGGTGGGAGGCTCACTGTTGGTCAACTGCAGGCGCAATGCCGACTTAGTTTAGTTGAGTTTTGTTTTGCAGATTTGGAGGGAGAAGTTAGTGCATGTGCTCTCTCTGGGCCCTTGCTGCACACATAGAGCTAGCTTAGTCAGTATAGTTTAACTTGTTCTGTGAAAAGCAGCAGAATGACCAAGAAGGAGAGGCATGGGCAAAGGTTCAAATCACCAAATGATTTTCATGTAATAGCTGAGACATGCCATTGTGAGATCACTATTCTCACAAAAGGCTCCTCAGTCTGCATCTGACCACAGAGTGACCTGAAGTCCTGTATTTACTACACCTTGAGCAAAAGCTGGAAAAGTGACCTATTAGGAAATAATTTTAGGCACATTGACTTTCACATAAATAGATATGTGCAGTGTGTCTGTAAACATACGCATGTTTTGGCTTTACAAGAGTCTTTGACAAATGAACCCTTTATTTTATATTTTTGACCATATCTCATATGGGCCTTTCCACACATATCATTATTATCATAAATTCATCACTGGGAGCTATAAAATAGCCAAATTGTGAGTTATTAGGAAGATGGCTTTCAACAAGTAGCTGAACATTGAATAACTCGAATTCATATTTTAGTAGCTGGGCTTGGGGAGTCAAAAGGGGTTTTGTTTCCAGATTTTGCTTTATGAAATAACCCACACACTTAAGTATAATAAATACTCTCACTTACCAATGCTGGTGACAGTGACACATATCCTAGCAATTTCTTGTACTGCTCAAAGGTGAAAAACTGTGAAAGAAAACCAAACGCAGAGATTTATAACAATTTCCTGTAACAAACCCTTGAATTGACTCAAATTTCTTTAGTAAATCATTACATTAACCAGTATTTTAGAAAATGATAAACCATTGAACACAGTTTTTAATCCGGTCTCGGTTAGTTGCTATTGAATCTTACTTTAACATTCACATTTTCAAATGCAGCTATAATAACCTACAGAAGAGCTGATGGAATCCTTTATAGCAGCAAATGAACCATACAGCTTCCATTTACCATGACCATTCTCAGTTTCCCCAGACATCAATAGACTTCTTTTTTATGGCAGTGATTCAGAATTACAGGCATACAGACCTGAAATCTTTGGTCTCCTATGCTTTCTCTATGCTTTCCCGGTGAATGCCCAATTTTCTAACCCGCTTGTAAAAGACATCCACTTCTCAGCTTGGACTTGCATTTATATTGCTGTGTATCTCTACTGTTCCATGGAATTTCAAAACACTCAGTGATGATGAAGATGCTATGAAAAACTAGGGAAGGACCCAACAAGGACATCTCGTCTATCCCCTGCCTGAAAGTAAGACTGTCCTTAACCTGAATGAGGAAAGAGAGCTGCTTATTCCTCTCTTTAAAATCTGATCATGATGAAGATTTTGTTGGTTCCTTCAGTAGGTGATGTTTAGTATAATTTTCTCTGCAAATAGATTTCTATGGAGGCAAATTTAATCGATCACTTTGATAATATGCCCCAAATAAATTTTTCTCCCGTCTTTCTATATTACAGCTTTTGGACAACAGTCTGCTTGAACATGACGCTTTGCTCCAGAGTAGCTCCTACTCTGTAAGGTAGCTGCCAACATCACTGATAAAACACACTCTTAGGTTCTGCTAGGGTCTGATTCTCAACACCTCAGAAATGGCATGGGTAGTTCATGGTCTTAAATGTCTTCCTCTATCTATTACTTTATAACCCAGTACAATGGGGCAAGAAAAAAAATGTAGATTTGAGGGCCAAGTAATATTTTGTTGTTAGAAAGAGGTAGTTTCATGTAGATAGGGCTATAATGAGTCTTTGGGCAGCTCAAGAGTCATTACATCACTGGATAGATTTTAATTCTTTTAAAGACTCAGGAACTATTTTTGTGTTATGGTCCTTTCGATCAACAATGGATGTAGTCTTTTCTGGAACAGGGATTCATTCGTTCACTCATTCAGCAAATAGTTACTGAATGCCTTACATAGAAGGCATGTTCTAGGCACTGGAGATGCATCAGAAAACAAAGAGAAACCCCTGCATTCTAGGTCTAACATTCTGGTGGGTGGTGATAAACTTGAAACTATCCTGCTGTTAAAATAATACCATCAGGATCCACCACAGTTTTAAGGAGAGATGCACTAGAAACCATTAAAGGGAAAAGAGAGTCTTGGGTTTAAAAAATCATTTATTATTTCTTCCTTTTCATAGCCATCATCATCACTATTCTTTTGATAATCACCTTGTGAGGATTTTGATGTGAGCAGTCCTAGGTCTGAATCCTGGCTATGCTACTTAGCTGTGACAGTGTAGCTTGAACTTTCTAGGCCTCAAGAACTTAAAACTTAGCTTCTAGAGTAGCACTTAAATAAGAGAACTTGACTATGATTTCCTGACATGCCTGGTGCATAGCAGACTTTCAGAAAATTTTAGCTTCCATTTCCTTTTTCACTTTGGTTACTAAAGGAACCATAGATAGCTAAGTTACATGTAGCACTTGTGAGAGCCTGCTGTGGTCCAGGAAGCACACCGAGGCCTTTGCGTGTGCTACTGCATTTAATCCATATCATCTCATCAGGTAACAGGTCATAGTACTACCATGATTCCCATCTGTAGACACATGTTCTGCAGCTAGTTGAGTGGGAGGCCTGTGATTCCCCCTACGTCTAATTTCAAAGCCCGGGTATGCTCTTAACCACAAGACTGTACTACTCACTGCTGAGCCATGATTGTTAGTGGTTTGGGAAGAGGTTCTCTGCACTGGAATTCTCTTGCTGCTGAGATCTCCTTGCTGTCCCTGACTCTGGAAGGTGAGTCTCTTAAGGCAGAAGATCTCAAACTTTTCTGATCACAATCTATGTAAAAAATATTTACCCAACACAGGTGTCATACGAGCACACAGTACAGGCTCATATTTATAACTGAAACAAAACATAGCTATAAAACAATGTTTTAATTCCTTTCCATACAGCACTACTCCTTTACTGCTTTCACGATATTTCTTAGTAATTTCTCATCCACAACATTAGTAATTGCAGAGATGTGATAAAAGTACCCTATCATATAAGATATGAGGTTACATGGTAAGGATGGAATTAGGAGGTCAACATGTAATAATGTTACCTACCCGAAGTCAAGCAAATATGCCACTAAAGAGTTTTGAAAACATGCATACTCAATTAGGGTTTTGGGAACCTTGAACATAAAACCTGGAATCCAAATTAATATGTTATATGTAACCTATATAGTGGAATCTAGAACTTTATCCCAGGGAGAAGGGCTGGGCCATGTGGTCCCTGGAGAAGTGTCATGTGGTTGGGCATGGGAGGCGGGTGTAGTGCCTGGGTGGCCCAGCCCTCCAGACGGCACTTTTCCCTTTGCTTTCATCCACGCTCACTGAGCAGTCTGATGACTAAGCTGACCTCCCTGATCCTCTCTTCTGGGCTGCAGCTAAATTACATGGAAACAGTTTGATCCATTTGGGTCTTGCTTTTAACAAATGGGACCTGAGCAGTGCTCAGATTAGGACTAACTATTCCCCACTACAGAGGCAAACCTCTTTTGGGTACCCCCTCAATGCCCTGGGCTGGTGGGAACAGGCACTATTCCCAGCCCCGTGGGACTGCTCATGAATCCTGCCATTCCCTGAAATCCTTTGGATGCTCTTTCCAGGCCTTGCTAGTTTGCTCTTGTGTGAGCTGGTCGGCTAGATACCTGAGGCGTCCCTCTGCAGATCTTAGGAGTCTCTCTCCATGCAGCACTCTCTTTCTCTGATACTCTGTCCTGTGAACTCTAGCTGCCTCCCCAGCGTCTCAGTTCCTTCTCATCCCAGGGAGTGAGCTGGATTTCCCCTGTGTGTCCGTGGGCCTGGAAACTCTCTCAATGCAGTAAGCTGGGGCAGCTACAGGGCTCATCTCATTTGTTCTCCATCTCTCAGGTATGACTATCCTTCCTTGTCTCATGTCCAGTGTCATAAAAATTGTGGTTTCATATATTTTGTTCATTTTCTGTTTCTGCTGTTTCAGGCAGGAGAGTAAATCTGGTCCCTCTGACTTCATCTTGGCTGGAAATGGAAGTCTTGGCCTTTCAGAAACTCTGAATAGTAGATTTGGGAATTTGGGGGAAAAGGACCAGAATATCTCCTGCTATAGAGTAATAAATTTTCTGTCTGTTTCCATTTGTATATGTTTCATTTACTCATCTACTATCCATCGAACATCTACTATGTGTAGACACTGTGATAAGTACTAGGATAGAGTGGTGAACGAACAACCTTCACAATTTATAACCTTTCACAAGTTTGGTTAGCATTAAGCAGTCCTTGAGAGTATGACCTTTAAAAAATGGTATTTCTGGACCTGTTAAGCTCAAGACTAGATCCTGGAACCTGGAATGCGGTGCCTGCCATCTCTGAGCAACCAGTTGGTCTCTTTCAGAGGTCTTCATTTCCTTTTGCTAACTGCAGTACTAATTCGGTCTTCATTTGTGAAAGTGGAAGTTTTATTTACTTGCCATTCATTTATTTACTCATTTTATTTTAATGATGAATCTCATTTCAAAGAATAAAGTACAAATAGCCAGAACATGGAAACAACCTAAATGTCCATTGACAAATGACTAGATAGAGAAGATGTGGTATATATACACACAATGGAATACTACTCAGCCATAAAAAGGGTAGTAATGCCATTTGCAGCAACATAGATGGACCTGGAGATTGTCATACTAAGTGAAGCAAGCCAGAAAGGGAAAGAAAAAATACCATAAGATATCACTTATATGTGGAATCTAAAAAAAAAATGACACAAATGAACTTACTTACAAAACAGAAACAGACTCACAGACATAGAAAACTAACTCATGGTTACCAGGGGGAAAGAGTGGGTAGAGGGATAAAGTGGGAGTTTGGGATTTGCAGATACTAACTACTATATATAAAATAGATAAACAACAAGGTTCTACTGTATAGCATAGGGAACTATATTCAATACCTTGTAATAGCCTATAATAAAAAAGAATGTGAAAAGGAATATACATATATATATATATATAGATACAGAACTGAATCACTATGATGCACACCAGAAAATAACACAACAGTGTAAACTGACTATACTTCAATAAAAAAAAGAAGAAAGTACAGAAAAAACTAAGCATTGTCTGTTTCTATTTATATTTAATATTCAGAGACCATATTTATGTATGTATGCAGGTGTGTATCTATGGTCTCTGAATATTTTTTTGAAGTAAACTTTGATGACATACAATGAAGCAGTTTATGATATAAGAAATCATTGCAATCAGATGATCATTTTCCTCACAAATCCTAAGACAAATATCTATAAAATGAATATTTTCATAAATTGTTGAAAAACTAGTGCTATCCATCTGGTAAAGATACATTTAACTCAAAGTTATACTTAAAAAGCCAACGTACTTACCATATGTCTCAATAATTTTAAGGTAAAATCTACTTGAAACAAGATGTCTGGGACACATACACCATATCCAGTTGCCCAAAAGTTCATCTGTTAACCATTGTTCTGGCAGGGAGCGTTGCTTTTTTTAAGTCGAGACTAACTCAGTTTTGTAAAGCTCAACTTTTTTTTTTTTGCCCACGAAAGATGGTTCAACACTGATAAACCTGAATCCTCTTGAAGTTTAAACTGTCTCCATTGTATAGTACTAAGGGGAAATATTTCAGGAAAAACTTTACTTATAGTTTACTTTATTTATACATGTAAAACTCTGAACAAATGAATATATTATTCCATGGAGACAAAGTGACTTTCTGTTTGAACAGGAACTCTGCTCTGTTTGTTTACTTGGGCAATCTTTTATCAAGTGAAGCCATTTCATAATTCAATTCAGCCCTTTTGTGTACTTTGGTGAACTTTTTCCAGATTCTCTGCTGCAATTCAGATCCTTATAATGAAATTTATATTGAAGCAATAATATAAAATCACAAAACTACAGCAACAAAGAGAATGAATTTATAAAGTATGTTTTAAAGCTTTCTTTCCTAAATTCTAGACCTGAATTAAATCCTGCTAAATTGCCATTTTGACATAATGTAAAAGTTTGGTGTCTGTGTATATACGTTGGTTTTCTTAATCATAATTTTAAACCCAGTAACCCTCTTAATTTACTGAGTAAAAGTACATAAGCTGCTTTTCCTTACCTTTCAGGAATACTGGGAATGCAAATTGAGCAATGTACGTGAAGAAAGCTTTATGTCGTTAGCTGGAAAGGAAGTCTTTCAGTCTAAGTTTGTGTTATCCTTATTACCGAAAGACAAAGCCATATTTGGTGATGTGGGTGGTGGTGGGGAGGGGGCGATGCCAGCCAGAGTCACAGTGATCAAGACTTTTGTCTGAGAGAACATATAAAGGAGTGATCAGACTTAGTTCTTTCTCCCCTGGAAGGCCTGCTAGATCTCTGTGTTCCTATCCAGATACTGAACCAGCAAGTAGTACGTAAACTTCCATAGTTATGTGGTTAAAGAATGGAAATCAGCGTGGTGCAGAAGTAATAATTTTGTGAAAACCAGAATAGAGAATTTTTACAGAGGAGACCAAGGGGAAAAAAGGAAGTTAGCATACCAAATACATGTGTTATACAAGAATCACAGAGAAAGAAATAGAACGTATTAGTTTGCTGTGTTCATAAAATGGGAATGATTTAGGGAGAAATGTTTCTCTACCGCTCTCTTCTTTTGTCTCTCTCTCTCGTTCTTTAGTAATCATTGCTCCAAAGGAAAATTTATGAATTGCCTTGAGAAAAAGTCCAAGCTCTTTTGTGGCTGCTGTGGTTTCCTTACACGAACTTCATTCCCCACTGTGCTTTTTGTATAATTTCCCCATTAGAAGAGAATGTCTAGCTGGGGAAAAATCCAGAAACCAATATACCAATATTTGAGAGACTAAGTCTAATTATACTAAAGCTTATGTTATAATTTCTGCATTAAAATGTTTAGTGTCTTATGTTTAATTCCCATTAATGTCCCAGAGTTTGTTGTGGGATGTGTTGATGCTGAAGCTCTGACCACAGTCCATCTTCACTCAGTGGGAAGACATATGATGTTTACCTTCACTGCTCTTTTTGGTGTTTCAGCCAAGATGGGTGGCAGAATTCCCTTGTAAAAACCGAACAGCCTATTGGAGAAATAAAAAGATTCTTTATAAGTCAGGGAATTAGGAAACAGGTAGTTCTGCCTTTGTTTATGGACAAAGCAACTAATCTTAAAGTATTCCCAATTATTCAATGCAGCACACCTGCTATAAAGTCTTCCTCTGTTTTAATTCTGAAGTGGAGACATGATTCTACGTTTATTAGCAGTATGCTATTCAGAAGAAAATAAATGATACTGAGACTGAAACCCCTTTGGTAAGTGCTAAACATAGCCATGAGTTATACCTTAAGGATAAAGTCAACCCTCCTTAATCTAAGGAATCTTGAATTTATTTTCTTGGTTGTGTGGTTGGTAGCCTCAAACTGTCTACAGCCTTGCACCTCCTCCCTGTGGTCACCAAATGAGGTTAGGGCTACACTGAGCCCTTTAGACTGAAACTTCTGAGGCTAACCAGGTGATGAAATCTTCAATTTTAGCTTACTAACACAAGGGAACTAACACACTCTATGGCTATGGAACTAGGGCTCCCAGCCCTGTCCTGAATTTTTAGTTATAATTTTTTTCACTTCCTTGAGGGAGACGGAAGAAGGTCTGGGAGGGTTAATTATCAGGACACATGGTGCTGACAGTAGAAATGTCAATTTCTCTTACTGCTATGCAATCTCACAGGGCATGGGACAGCTATAGTTGCTAATATTGAGGGATTTGTGGTCACATATTCAGACATTTTTTAGGAAAAAAAAGAATGAATGTCATATGCTTATGGTAAGTTTTATAAGTCACCACTCATTAGATTTTAAGACTCAAAATTTTAAATTCATCTGTCCTGGAATCTTTATAATGTACATGCCATAATCTCTTTTATCCCTGAAACTATTTCAACAGAAGAAAATATTCTGCATTATTTTCTGGGGTAATCAATTTTCCTGATGAACCCATTAGTGGCTACAGATAAAGGCAGGACTCAAGGTGCCCCAATTTTAGGATAGCCATTCAACATCCTAGAGAAGGCTGGAGCTTCTCTGATTGACCCCTCAAAGTTCACTCCAGCTCCCTTAAGTTGGGTTCTGCATTTAGCTGTGCTTTTGGAACAAGTTGAGTTTATTCAGACTAACCCACTGTGCCACCCAGTCCAACATGGTGACCTCTTGTTCTTCCTCGATTCACTGGCTTACACAGCATCAGTGAGGGGAGCAAAAGGCTAGTCAGTTGTTAGCTCCTTGAGGGCCAGGTGTGCATTAGAGTGCTTACCCTAGAGTTGTGTGTGTGTGTGTGTGTGTGTGTGTGTGTGACCAGGACACAAATATTTGTTAAGCTTATAGATTTCATGAAGAGGAAGAGAGGAAATGGAAGTGAGGGTGATCTGGCTGCAACATCTGTCACCCCATTGATCACCAGGGTTGATTCAGCTGATATGGCTGGCTAGGCGGGTGTCCCCTTCCTCCCTCACTGCTCCATGTGCGTCCCTCCTGAAGCTATGCGCTCGGTTGAAGAGGATGATTATCCCTGATAGAGGAGGACCGTTCTTCTCAGTCAAGGGTATACAAGTAGCCGTGCTCCCCTGCTAGAACCTCCAAACAAGCTCTCAAAAGAGGAATCAAATGATCCCCTTATATGGGCTTACTCTGACACGGTTTTCAACTTAATGGATAGTGCTAGCATTTGTGAATAGGAAGTAAAGTAGACGTGATTTGAAGAACTGTGGGAATTCATGAACTCCTCCCACCTCCTTTCCATTGCAATTCCAACTACTAATGCCTTAAATTCACTTACAAAATTTAAATACTCTTTATCATTGAAATTTTATTGTAAATTAATTATTTTACGATTTTCAGCATGAGAGTGACTAAGCATAAGTTTGGACTTCCTAAAAAAAAGATAAATGGGACTTTTCTGAATAGAAGTTCCATATTTATAACAAAAGACATTATTTGCTTTGTTCTTTTTATGCTGATTTTCCCATATCTTTAAGATTATGCCTGGTTATAGAGGGGAAAATGAAGAAGAACATTTAAGTAAGTAAAGGTTTTAGAACAGAGTGTCCCAGTTAATAGAAGCACTTGAAATCCTATGCAAAAGAGAACAGATATAGGACGAACAGTTGCTCTGTCTGGAGAAGAAAGATCTTAGGGTGAAACATGATGAACATGGTGTAGTTTTTGAAAAGTGAGCATGTAGGAAAGAGATTGGACTTTTCTGTTTGCTTCCAGATGTGGAAGCAACAAGGGGAAAAAACATTTTTGGCTCAGCAGGAGCTCAATACAAGGAAGCACATCTAACAGTCAGAACTATCTAAAGATAGAAGTTTCAGGGCTCTCCTAAAAAGTGGTGAGTTCTCCTTGGTATGTGGTCAAGGGGTCCAGATGGCCACTTGTCATGGATGCCAGAGATGGATGAACACAGAAATGGAAGAACCTGATGGCCCTCAAAGTTGACTTACTCCAACCCTCAGATATTGTTATTCTAAGAAAAGGAACAAGAAGACATGGGAAAGCGCTTTTCTGAAGACATAAACTCTGCATTACTTCCAGCTTTTGCCTAAAGTAGAGTACTGTTTCTCTGGAGGAGGACAGAAGTCTTAAAAGCCACACAGAAGGTCTTCATTTGAAAACTGATGAGAGAAAATATTAAAAAGAGGTGTAAGGCAGGAGGGAAGAGAGGCAGCTGGGAGAACCATAAGGATTTAATTCAAAAAGAACTGGGAGTTCCCAAGCCCTCTGCTTCCAGCTGGCGATTCTTCCTTGATGCACCCTCTTTCTATTTTCTCTCTGCTCTCCTCCTTTCATGTGTGCCCCTCTCCCACCAGCTCCAGCCCTCCAGCCATCCTGAACTCTCTAATGGTGAATGAACAGCTTTAATGGGAAATTCTCAAGGACCATAGGCGGCGTTTGCTGACAAATGGGAAGCTCGAACTACTTCCTTGCATTATTTTTACAGTATAGCCATGTAATAGTGGACATCTATGGAACAGTCAGGCTGGCACCTCTTCTGCTGAGAATCGCTCCACCTGATTTTCTTTAAACCACTGGAACCAACATATTAGTACAATATGGTACTGCTCGTAGGCAGCAGCTGATTGGGCATCTTGCCAAATGGATCCAAATGGTATCCTGTCTCTTTACACCAGTTAGTCTGATCCAAGCTAGACTTTGCAGAGTTTTCCTCCAGGATTTTGGAATTGGAACTGGAAAAGGTCAGTCTTGCTCTGTGCGATTGAAAATCTAAGATATAAAGCTAGAATATGAACAGTAGTCATGTTTTCTGTCACTTGGGGAAAGTCAGTCCTCAGTGATAAGAAATAAAGAAGCCATTGCTCGGGGAAAAACAGAAACAGGAGGGAGAAGAGAAGTCCTGGGACTGTGAGTGTGACCTGCTGACAGGATTTTTTAAGCCTAGTTACATCTTGACCCTTCTTGAACATTGACATTTCCCTTTGCTTTTGATTCTTTGAGATACCTAGTGACATTTATAATAAATTTCTTTATTTACTTATATAGGTTTGAGTTGGGTTTGTTAATTACAGTTCAAAGTCCTGGATCCAGAAATTGGCCCCTATAGCCAAAGTGACTGCTGCAATACCTCCGTACCACTGTTTCCCATGAAGGGCCTTTGGTCAGTTATAAGTGGCACTGGGGCCAATCAGAAGAGTCACACCAAAACTGTGAGCAAGAGAATGTGGGCAAGGCCTCAAGCTGATGACCTGTTTTTCTGACTCGATTAGATAATTATAGGAAGTTGTCCTAATGTCAAGTATGATATACAAATTCTAAAAAACAAAAAAGAATTGTAATGTTTTATGAAGAAGATACTTTTTTTCCTGCTAAAGAACTGATGTTTATACCCACATGCACTGTTCATTCTGCAATTTTGTTAATGCCTTCATGTAGTTTTAGCTTGAAATACAGAGCATATAGCTTACCAGGACAATAAGCAGAGAAATTAAGAGATTTGTGACACCCATATCAATAAGCTTTATTCTGTTCACTTCTCAAGAAGCAGATCGACACATTCAGTCTACTCCCTGGCTGAATGGAAAGTGAGATTCTAATGTCTACTGAAAAGAAAGTAAAGCCACCACTGCGGTTTTAAGTTTTGACCCACATCAAGCCAACTGGAGAACTCTTTGGAAGAGACACAAGAACCACTGCAAGACCTCTCATAAAATTGTAGTATGAACTGGATGGAAGTCCTCATATTTTGTTTCTCAGACTTGTTACTTCTAAAAGTTGTGAGTGTAGGAAAATGTTAACTTCGATGTGTACAGACTTTCCTTGATAGTGTTATAAGTAAAAATAGTAAAATTTGTTGAATGCTTAATATGCACTAGCAACTCTGTTAAGAATAAATATGTGAAAGCATATGGACATATTTTAATCTCATTCAACTCTCACAACAATCCTTTGAAGTAGGAATGATTACTTTCTTCATTTTGCAGGTGAAGCCTACTATCACATCACTGCCAACTGGGGACAGAGACTCAAATCAAGCTCCATTGTCCTCACAGTCCCTGTCCTTGACCACTGAGCTTTAAAAGTATTGCTGTTTTTCATAAAAACTATTTTTACAAACACTTTTGAAAAGTCAAGTTATTTCTGTTGCAAAAAATGTCCTGTCATTTCTTATTTTAGGAGGAAGCAGAAGCAGCAATTAAAAATCAGGTTTCTATTCCATTGCCATTCAATTCTGTTTTAAAGTAATGTGAAACACTATCTGCATGACAGATAGACCTGGGCTGAGATGAACAAGATCGTTTTCTGTAAAAACTTTTGGATTGTTTATTAAATATTTTCTAGTTGGATCAGAATGAGAAAAAAAAGTAGGCCCTAGGACAAACACTTTCCCCCCAATAGGATACTTTTGCCCTTAAGAGACACACTAGGATAATTCTGTCAGTGTGGGAAAAAGACCATGCATAGTTCGGCCATATAGTAAGACACCAAAATATTAATCCTAAATACTAAAATAAAACTGTTATTATCCAAAAGGTCAATGGGGAATACTGTTGGCTGTTGAGCCAACACA